GGGGGGTGCTGTCCGGGCTGGGGGGAAGACAAGAAACTCGGTTTTGGAGAGGTTCAATTTAAGGAAGTGGAGCGACATCCAGTCTGATATGTCGCTCAGTAGGTGTGTGATTCGGGCTGAGACCAAGGGGGTGAGGTGGGGGGTTGAGAGATAGATTTGTGTGTCGTCGGTATAGAGGTGGTAGTTGAAGCCGTGAGAGTGTATGAGTTGGCCAAGGGAGGAGGTATAGATGGAGAAGAGAAGGGGTCCGAGGACAGAGCCTTGAGGGACCCCAACAGAGAGGGGGAGTGAGGGGGAGGTGGTAGCATTATAGGTAACGCTGAAGGAGCGTTGTGACAGGTAGGATGAGAGCCAGGAGAGAGCAGAATCTCTGAGGCCGAGGGAGTGTAGTTAGTTTTTTGAGGAGGAGGGGGTGGTCGACTGTGTCGAAGGCCGCAGAGAGGTCAAGGAGTAGGAGCACTGAATAATGGCCATTAGCTTTGGCGGTTAGCAGGTCGTTGGAGAGTTTGAGTAAGGCAGTTTCGGTGGAGTGTAGGGGACGGAAGCCGGACTGTAGGGGATCGAGGAGGTTGTTGTCATTGAGGTGAGAGCATAGGCGGGTGTAGACTAGGCGCTCGAGGAGTTTAGATGTAAATGGGAGCAGGGAGATGGGTCTGAGGTTGTTCGGGTCATTGGGGTCCAGGGAGGGCTTTTTAAGTATGGGGGTGATGTGTGCATGTTTCAGAGGGGAGGGGAAAGTGCCTGAGGAGAGGGAGAGATTGAAGATGTAGGTGAGGGAGCGTAGGATGGAGGAGGAGGAAGGTCGTAGGAGTTGTGAGGGGATAGGGTCGAGGAGGCAGGTGGTGAGGCGGGCATCAGAGATCACATCCCCCTTATGTATTATACATGGAGATCACATCCCCCCTTATGTATTATACATGGAGATCACATCCCCCCTTATGCATTATACATGGAGATAATATCCCCCCTTATGCATTATACATGGATACTGTCAAGGATTCGCTTAAACGATCACCCTGTCACGTGTCCACCACAAGCCACGCCCACAGCGACTAGCTAACCGTGACGCACGCGTGCGGCCGCGACAGGGTGGTAAAGAGGGGATAATAAAGAGGGGATTTACACTTGAATATCTCAAACCGTATATAAGATCAGCCGTGATACCTTTTCACAGCCCACACTACCTCTGGCCACCACCAGATGGAGACTCCACTCCAATCCAGCTGGTCGACCACGCACTGGCAGATACGATCTTACATACAACCTGGTGCCCTGATTAGAGTTGAGGACCAGCTTAGTAATCACACACCCTTCTAAAGGTCCCTCCAGCTATCCTAGCTTGAACCCCGGTGTTGATAACCCTTCCACTGTCCACACATCCCCACACCAGACGCACCACAAAGGTAGCCTGCCACCACCCAACAGTTTATCCGCAGAATGGTCTGTTGAGACACCACACACACACAGATCTCCGTCTGGCAGATCTGTTACCTTTGCAATCTGCGTGCAATCTGCCCACTCACAGTGCAGTTGCATACAGATTGGCAATGAGCTTAACCGAGCGTTTTAAAGGCACTAAAATACATAGAGCCATCTTACAAAATGTAAATTGTCCCAGATATCCTGAACAGTACTGTCACTTGGGGATTTGACCCTGGTTTTAAAACAAAAACTAGAGAATGTTTAAGGTTTTTTTTAGTTACTTACAGAAATTGGACCAGATCTTGGTAAACAATCTAGGAAATGGGTTTTGAGGTTTTAAAAACTATGCCTTTGTGTACAATTTGCAAATATATACAGATCAGCCATAACCATGGCTACCCACCTAATATTGAGTAAGTCCTCCCATCAAAACAGCCCTGACCCATCGAGGCATGGACACCACTAGACCTCTGAAGGTATGCTGTGGTATCTGGTGCCAAGCCGTAAGTAGCAGATCCTTTAAGTACTGTAAGTTATGAGGTGGGGCCAACATGGATCAAACTTCCAGAACATCCCACCGATGATCTATTGAATTGAGATCTGAACAATATGGAGGTCAAGTCAAGACCTCAAACTCACTGTTTCTCAAACCATTTTTGCAGTGTGGCAGAGTGAATTATCCTGTTGAAAGAGGTCACTGCCATCAAGAATACGGTTTCCAAGAATGGGTATATTTGATCAACAACAACGTTTAGGTAGGTAGCACATGTCAAGCAAGATCCACATGAATGGCAGGACCCAAAGTTTCCCAGCAGAACACTGACCAAAGCATCACACTGCCTCTGCTGGTTTGCCTTCTTACCATATTGCATCCTGATGCCATCTCTTCCCCAAGTAAGTGACGCACATGCACCCAGCCATCCACATGTTGTAAAAAAAAAAAAAAAAACAGTACAGATGGACAATGATCCAAAACACACTGGAACCCAGGAGCTTTTGAAGGAAAAGAAGTGGAATATTCTGCAATGGCCAAGTCAATCACCTGATCACAACCCAATTGAGCAAGTATTTCACTTGCTGAAGGCAAAACTAAAGGCAGAAAGACCCACAAACAAAGAACAACTGAAGACAGCTGTAGTTAGAGCCTGGCAAAGCATCAGAAAGGAGGAAACCCAGTCTTTGGTAATGTCTATGGGTTCCAGACTTCAGGCAGTCATTGCCAGTAAAGGATTCTCAACAAAATATTAAAAATGAACATTTTATTTATGATTATATTCAATTGTCCAATTACTTTTGGTCGCTTGAAAAAGGGGGGATGGCTACACTTAAGAGCTGTGATTCCTAAAAACCCTTCCTCCAATTTGGATGTACATACCCTCAAATTAAACCTGAGAGTGTGCACTTTCAGCCCATATCCATTATATAACTATAGCTTGAATATGTTTTGGTAAATACCTTAAAAAACCTAAATTGTGCCTGTGTCGAAATATATATGGACCTGGGAAGGAAAGACACAGAGCCCAGTGTGCCTCAGGACCTGGCTCCCTGGGCCCTATACAGTTACCCAGCATGCCTCAGGGCCTGGCTCCCTGGGCCCTATACAGTTACCCAACCCAGCATGCTTCAGGGCCCGGCTCCTTGGGATTGGCTGGGGCTGTATCAGTATTCAAGCTGGCATCTGCATAGCTCCACACCTACCATCCAGAAGCTTCTCAAGCCTTCTGGATGCAGAGGAAGCTATACCAGCCTGCCAGCAGCAGCGCACACTGGCCAAACCTAATTAGAAGATTCAGGCATCACTGATGCAGTGAGCCAAATATGTTTTTACCTATCAAGACAAAATTATAACTATCTAACCTACTTCTACCTATCTAGGAGGGTGCTAGACTCCTATTCCTTTTCAGGAGACAGTTGTGAACTTTTGGATTTCCTTTCACTTTCTTTCCAGTTGGCAGTGGTCACCAAAAACCGTGCCTAATAGTGCACAGACCAGGCCCTGAGGCCTGTAGCAAAAATTGCCCCGGACTTAGCCAAAAGACCTGGTCCTTAGGGCGCTGTGCAAAAAGAAGTGAAAAACAGTGGCCATGTGTCATCTTCACACCGTGGGGTCCCACACCCAAGTGTTACTAGTGACACCCCTGAGAGCGTCTTCCCCAGGGGGCACTGAGTTTGCGGACTTTTTGCGTCCCCAGCCCCTGGCCAGACCAAGGCAGCATGCTCAGATCAGGAGGTACTGGGTCTTTCCAGTCTTCCCAGAGGAATTACTCCCAAGGCCCCAGAACGAATCATGGCGCTCCCTGGTTTCTGTCCCTCCGGTACTAGCCTTCCGGACCCCCATCATACCAGTGAGGGTACTATACAACAACCATCCCCGTAAACTAGAATGGTCGGGAGCACCCCCACTGGACACTGATAAGAACAGATACTACACTTGATCTTAGCCAAAAGGCCGAGAAGCGATGGTCTGTGCACTATTAGGCACGGTACCACTTTTTTATTTTTTATTTATTTACCACTCCCACGTTTTGTCACTTTTTCTGTTCTTATGTGTGTGTTTTTCACGGATGGAGGGTGTGGGTCCTCGGGCCTTACCTGAAGTCTAGGGGGAGGATGTGTGGCCATACGGTTCCTTCCTCCCCTGATCCCTAGGGGGTTTTCTCTTCGGGAGAACCCCCTCGCCTAGTACTGGATGTCCGGCTTCGGCTGGGCATAAGGAACGGTGGTCCACCAGGCCTTTTGGCCAGGAGGACCAAATGGGAACCTTATTAGATATGTGTATCACCTAACCCCAAAACCCCCTCAAAAAGTCACGCCTTCCCCAGAAAGCAACACAATATTACCCTTTTTGAAATTATATAAACAAATTCAGGATGAATATAATCATAAATTACCAAAAATACCGGGGTAATTAAAAAAAAGTCCAGCATAAAGTGTCCCAAAATGTCCCAATGTAAACACCTTTCGTGGTCCAAATCTCCAAATTTTATCCAGTCAGAAGAAATTCCCTTTCATCCCGCAATACCTCGAAAAAAACTAATTCAGAAATCTAGTGCATTACCTTTATAAATAAAATATATATATATATTCTCTTCGTGCAAAAACGTTTTGCAAACACTATATATGTGGTGTTTTGCACTTGCACTTTTTTGCAATAGTATTGGACACTATTACTTATCCTTAAACCAACATTTTTGAGATCTTCTGAATGCTCCAATGAATATTCCAAGGTCCTCAAAAAGACAAGAAGGGTTCGGCTCATATTCTTAAAACAAAAATGAGAAAAAATTTTCTTAATTCGGCTTCACCAAAAACAAGTCCTATCAAACAGATGCAAAATGCCATGTGTTGATAACCCACAAAATGGCCGCGGCGACACTTCCGGTCTGCGTAGCCTACGCTAAGCACGTCACACCTTTGCACAAGGGATATATTTAGCACCGTCTGTTTGACACTTATTTTGTAAATTGTAATTCACTTTATTGCTGCTTAACAACTTTGCTAAAGCCCTAGCATGTCATGGTGATTGCACCCTGACACTTACGGGTTTTTTTTCGATAAGTTGCACGTTTGCGGACTTAAAAAAAAAAAAAAAAAAAAAGTGGTCACCAAAAACAAATAGAGAGGGCAAATCTACTGAGCTGGGTCACAGAAAGCAGTAGCCTACGCTAAGCACACACACAATAGCTTTGCACTGCAAGGGATATATTTAGCACCGTTTGGTTGCACTTGTTGTAACGTGTAATTCATATTGCTGCTGCTAGACAACTTTGCTAAAGCCCTAGCATGTCATGGTGATGACCCTGACATACAAGAACAAGCAGAAATGAAATGAAGTCCAAGTAAAAAGCCACTCCTGTGACCTGCCTGGACCATAAGATGGTGCTGGACCCGCCATGTGATGAGGAAACCTCTTTTGAGGTTTCCTTACAATCCTCAGAGAGCGCAGCACTTTATTCCTAGAATCTCTTGATTGAGGAATGCTGGGTATGATTCAACACATCATCCAGGAAGAGATCACCGCCACCTCTTTTCAGCTCTCTATAGATCTCAAAGAGACTGGCCATGACACTGAAATTGAGGACCATATGGATGACTCGGCCACCATCCTAAACTGATCACAAAATGTGAATAGCGTGTCTGCAAACAGAACAACAGGTCCTCAAAGACAGGAGGATGGTGAAAACAGAGCATCGCACAGCAATCTTTGTGTTCACGGCATTCCAGAAATAGGGGAACACAAAAAGCAGTAATCCTTACCTTCTATCTAGAAGTTTAAAAGTTAAAGAGTCTTCACTCTAGATCAGGGTTTCTTAACCCCCATGGAACCTTAATGTTCCTCCAGAGGTTGCTAGGGTTTCCTTGAGCAATGACCAATTTCTGCCTCTCAGATAAGTTCTGCTGACACCATTGATCTTTTTAGATATCTGTAAGGGGGGAATTACTCCCAGTGAACACAAGTGTAAGGAGCATTCTTCCCACTGACCATCACACTAATATATCATGAGTTGAAGATAAAGAAATTTTGTAATAGGTGTTCCCTGAAACTGTAAATTTATTTCAAAATTTCTTCTGTGTTGAGAAGGTTGAGAAAGTGCAGAATTACCTAATCACTAAGCACTCCCATTTCCTGCATTCAGAAAAAGGTATCAAAATAGCCCATCTCAGTACCTTCAGAACAGAAGCAGGTAACAACCTGCAATGAAGTGTGCTATATATGGAACTGACCTGGAAAGTCACTGTAAGACCCCATTCACATTGAGAATTTTTTAGGGCATTCCTTGATGCGTGAAAATGCTCATTAAGAAGAACCTCATTATTTTCATATGCCTGTTATAAACTGAACATTCGTTGCTTGCAGCTTGACACAGAGCCTTGTTTTCAAGCAGAATAGCATATTTTTGGCCCCGTAGACTGTAATGGAAGCCCCTGAAAAATGCACAAAAATATGTGTTTATCATTCCTGAACCAGCCAAGTCCGCACCTGCACACAAGAAGGGCTCCAAGAATGCCATGACCAAGAGCCAGAAGGAGGACGGCAAGAAGCGGTGGAAGAGCAGGAAGGAGAGTTATGCCATCTGCGTGTACAAGGTGCTCAAGCGGGTCCACCCCGACACCGGCATCTCGACCAAGGCCATGAGCATTATGAACTCCTTTGTCAATGACATCATCGAGAGCATTGCCAGCAAAGCTTCTCGCCTGGCTCATTACAACACTTCATCATCACCTCCTGGGAGATCCAGACCGCCGTCCGCCTCTTCCTGCCCGGAGAGCTGGCCAAGCACGCCATCTCCGAGGGAACGAAGGCCGTCACCAAGTACACCAGCACCACGTAACCCACCATCATCCCCTTTTACCTTTTGTATTACTCAACCAGGGGCGGACTGACAACTCATGGGGCCCCTGTGTCCTTGCCCATACTCAAAGCACACTCAAAAAAGCCTATAAAAGTTGCCAGGGGCATTTCATGGAGCCCCCTACTGACCCTGGGCCCTCGGGCACTGCCCGAGTACTCGAATGGTCAGTCCGCCCCTGCACTCAACCCTTCCTCCTAGATTGTAAGCTCTAATGATCCGGTCCCTCTGCTTCCTCTTATACCGAATTGTATTGTAACTGTAATGTTTATCCTCATTTTGTAAAGCGCTGCGCAAACTGTTGGCGCTATATAAATCCTGTGTAATAATAATAATAATGTGTTATGCAAGTTTTTCAGGCAATGCCACTATAAAAGTCCATGGAATCAAAAAAGCATGATTTTCCTCCAAAATCGCTCCTGAAAATGTGCAAAAGAATACACAAAGGAAACTCAAGCTATGCTCAGGAGTGAATGTCTTCTAAGAAAAAGCTATTACGGCCTTCTATTCAAAAAAAACCCTCAACTGAATAACAGAAAACTGTGCAGAATCATCAGCTTCTGATGGGAGGCTCAATGCCTGGACATTGCAGATATCTATTAAAAACTATCACATACAGCAAGAATTCAGTTTTGCATTTGAATCCGGAAACGTCCAGATTCAAATGAAACATATTGACCTGACTAATCGGCGCTGCACTCCTAAGGGCTCTTCTCTTGGTGCCCAACTCCCTTGCGATCAATCAAGTAGGTCTTAGAATAAAACGTCATATTCCTTCCTAGAATGAAGAAAGGAATGCAGGTGCAGGAATGTACATAGTGTTTGTTTTCGCCAGACGTGACTCCTAGGGGCAGCAATTAGTGGCGTGTTTCAGTTAATAACACTCCAATCACGTCTCAGAGGACAGCAGGCAACTGCTTGCAGATGACAGAACAGAATTTTAAGGAGATTTAACCTGAGTGGTCCAGCTACATCTAGCAGTGACAAGCGCCAGCTCTGCTGTTCCCGACACCGGCGGCTCTGGGCTCTGCTGGACCCACGCAAGAGGTAGCACACAGACAAATTAGCTAACAACCAACACAATCCAGTTTAATTTGTTTTTACAATAGAAGGAAAACTTGACATTTCTTTGACCATCTAAAGCATTCAATGACCACTAGCTACACCTGCTACTTAAAGTAAATAGTCAACCAGTGAATTGCATTCCTGCAATGCAATACATAAAGCATGCAGTCAAAAGGTTGGGTTGTTGTGTTACCAAATGTAGTGCTACCCTATTGAGGGCCACTGAATATTTTTGGGTTCTCTGAGCCTGCTCTGAAAGCACAGCCCTTGTTGACACCACCATGAATCTTTGGCCAGGAGAACTCCCTTGCTTTGAACCATAAAATAAAAACACACACAGTTTAAAGTGTGTAAATATTATGGTTATATTGAGGTTCGCAGATAAAGAGTTCAAGCACAACAAAAATGACAGTAAATGCATAAACAAAAAGTTAAACACTCTAAAAGGTTCACAATGTATTACTTGAAGCAACCCCAAATGTCCTGCAGGATCAGAATTTAAACATCAATTGCAGCTTCTGAGATGTCCCTCCCCAAGTGACCTGGAGTGAACTATCAAGCTGTCAGGGTAACTTTTGGGCTCTTAGTTACTGGTAACTGGGTTTAACTCTGTAGATAAATACTTCTGTTATAAGTGTAGCACCCTCCTAGTTAGCTAGGGGGAGCTAGACCTCAATTGTTAGCTAGAAGGGCTGAGTAGCAGTCTGGGTGTGATAGCTAGCAGGGATCAATTTGTGGTCAGAGCTGGGAGGCTCTGCAGACCAGAACTCTGGAATTTCCCCCTGCTCTAGAACTTTGAAGAAAGGTCTAGAAGCAGTGGGTGGATCTGAGGAGTGGATGATCTGCATTTTTGAAAGAGCATGACCAATCCCCAACAGGAGGTTTGGCAAGTGGCCAGGACAACCCCTAAAAGTGATTGAGCCTGCTCAGCTGCAGTAAAGTTGGATGGAAGACAGAGAGAGAATGTGAGGCTGAAATCAGGAGCCTGGGAGGGGACCCAGATGGAGAAAGGGGCTCACCTACAGATGGTAAAGGTGGAAAAGACAAAAGCTCAAACCATCACTGGCCCCCAAAGCGAAATCCAACTGTGGAGCAGGGAAGGAGCACCCCAACTAGAAGGCCTAGTAGCAGCCATCCACTCACCAGAAACCCGGGAGAAGGACTCAGTGAGTAACCCTGCACCCCCTGAGCCAGATAGGGGAAGGAGCACTCTTGCTGGGGCTGTCTAATTTCTTAAAGCAAGAGACACCAGAAGAAGGAGTTTATCTGGGGTCTGTGGTGGTAGTACAGGAGATGCTGGCTAGCTCTCCGAAAGAGACTGTGTTGCAGTAGAGACTTGTAAATAGTTCCAGGAAGTTGTCAAATCTTCTGCGCCCATGGTGGGGCCCTAGTTGGTGCACATTAAGGTTCAGACCCTTCCTTGTGCAAGAGCAAGATTTCCTTAAGAAGGTATAATCACAGAAAGATTCCCCCTTGAGTGATGTTGAACTTGGGTAAAGTCTCTTTAACACAAAAGTTGAAGGAAAGAAATAGCTAAGATTGTAGGTAGGGGCGGAAACAGACCTCAGCAGAGGTTGACCCCTTAAAGATGGTGAAGTAGTCTGGTGAAGCAGGTTCCTTTTTGAGTTGGAAGAGGCTTGAACTGAGATACTAGGGCAATCCTGTCTGCAGGGGGAATTTGCTGTAGCCAGAGTGTTATGGTTTCAGGGTGTTAGTGAGGCATTAAAAGCAGCAGGCCATAATACAGAATGGGCTACACCAGGGGTGGGCAAACTTTTTGACTTGAGGGCCGCAATGGATTCATATATTGGACCCGGTGGCCGGACCAAGAGTAGATGAATGATGTGTATGTGTCATCCATAGTAAGTATAGTAATATTCCCCCATAGTAAGCATAGTAATTAATCCCCCATATAGTAATTCATCCCCCATAGTAATTCATCCCCCATATAGTAATTCATCCCCCATAGTAATTCATCCCCCATATAGTAATTCATCCCCCATATAGTAATTCATCCCCCATAGTAATTCATCACCCATATAGTAATTCATCCCCCATAGTAGTAATTCATCCCCATATAGTAATTCATCCCCCATATAGTAATTCATCCCCCATAGTAATTCATCCCCCATAGTAATTCATCCCCCAAATAGTAATTCATCCCCCCATAGTAATTCATCCCCCATAGTAATTCATCCCCCATATAGTAATTCATCCCCCCATATAGTAATTCATCCCCCATATAGTAATTCATCCCCCATATAGTAATTCATCCCCCATATATTAATTCATAACCATTGTAATTCATCCCCCATATAGTAATTCATCCCCCATAGTAATTCATCCCCCATAGTAATTCACCCCCCCCCATATAGTAATTCATCCCCCATATAGTAATTCATCCCCCATAGTAATTCATCCCCCCTATAGTAATTCATCCCCCCTATAGTAATTCATTCCCCATATAGTAATTCATCCCCCATATAGTAATTCATCCCCCATATAGTAATTCATCCCCCATATAGTAATTCATCCCCCATAGTAATTCATCCCCCATAGTAATTCATCCCCCATAGTAATTCATCCCCCCTATAGTAATTCATCCCCCCTATAGTAATTCATCCCCCATAGTAATTCATCCCCCATAGTAATTCATCCCCCATAGTAATTCATCCCCCATATAGTAATTCATCCCCCATATAGTAATTCATCCCCCATAGTAATTCATCCCCCATATAGTAATTCATCCCCCATATAGTAATTCATCCCCCATATAGTAATTCATCCCCCATAGTAATTCATCCCCCATATAGTAATTCATCCCCCATATAGTAATTCATCCCCCATAGTAATTCATCCCCCATATAGTAATTGATCCCCCATAGTAATTGATCCCCCATAGTAATTGATCCCCCATAGTAATTCATCCCCCATAGTAATTCATCCCCCACATAGTAATTCATCCCCCATAGTAATTCATCCCCCATATAGTAATTCATCCCCCATAGTAATTCATCCCCCATATAGTAATTCATCCCCCATAGTAATTCATCCCCCATAGTAATTCATCCCCCATATAGTAATTCATCCCCCCTATAGTAATTCATTCCCCATATTAAGTCCCCAAGTCCCCCCTGTGTCAATTCACTTACCTTTGCTCCGCGCGTTCCTCTCACCGTCTTCCCGCGCCGTTCCGGTGTAGCATGAAAATCTGTCTCCTATGAGGATCTGTCCCCCTCGACGTATCTGCGCATGTGCCAGTTTCAGGCATTAGCAGCCGATCGGCGATCTCCGGCACATGCGCCGATACGTCGAGGGGGACAGATCCTCATAGGAGACAGATTTTCATGCTACACCGGTCTTCAGGGCGGACTGTGAGAGGACCCTAGCTCCGCGGGCCGGATTAAAAGGTCCGCCGGGCCGTATACGGCCCGCGGGCCGTAGTTTGCCCATTGCTGGGCTACACAATCTGGGCCTCAGTGGGATAAGCTGTGGTGTAAGGTGCACTGAACTGAACTATTGAAATTAACAGTGTCACTTGCAATTTTTTGAGGATTTGGGTATGGAACCCTCTAACCTAATCTGTAGCCTCTGCAGTGTAAGAGGTAGTCTCTCTGTTTGGGGGCGCATTCTTTGGTCCCTCTGTTAAGGAGCGATGGCGATGACAGCACTACGATCCGCCTGCCTGCAGGATTGACTGTCCTGCTCATCAGTGATACCAGTGGTCTACAGTCCTTCTGTATTTGTCTGCTCCGTGGCCCAATCCAGCTGGATCTCCAGAGTCCCACACAGCCTTTTCCACACACCCGTCCTCCACCTCTCTCACCATTCACCTCCTTCCCCACAAGTTCCCGGCCTTCTCAATATATATGCCCCCACCCCTTTACCAGCTCTTCTGGGAAATGTAGTCTGCTCACTCCTTTTCTGAGTTCAGAAGTCCTGCTACCAACAAGGCTTTACTTCCACAGAGCCTGGATAACTGAACCGCAAAACACTATCATCTTGTATTTAACCACTTCCCGTTAAGCCCACGTAGATAAACGACCAGATGGGAGCACTGCCGAGGCGAGTGGACGTTTCTAAACGTCTCCCCACATCCATTGCCTGGGAGCGTGTGGCACCGTTATCGGAGGACACAGCAGAACACAGATTGCTGTCCAGAATCTCTGTGTGAGGTCCCAATTCATGTGATCACTGATTGGCCAATCAGTGATCACATGAATAGTAGTAAACAAGATGTTACTTCCTGACATCATTGCTTACTACTTGTGAAATCTGTGAATGATCACAGAGGTCACATGGTACAAGGTTATTCACAACATGTGACCAATCACAGCTCGCACAGTATTGCTCAATGGCTGAGTGACAGTATGTTAGAAAAAAAAAATAATAATATAGAAAAAAAAATAAAAATGTAAAAAAAAATGTTTGAAAAATTATAATTTTTGGTTATAAACTAATTTGGGTTATTTTTTTTACTAAAACCATAGATGAATACATTTTGGTCAAGATTTATGAACAAAGATTATTTATTTTCAAAATTTTATAAGAAAAACACTTTAGTTTTCAAAATTTTTGGACTTTTTCATTTATATAGCAAAAAAATAGAAATCCCAGCGGTGAATAAATACCACCAAAGTAAAGTTTTATCGGACTCAAAAAATACTAAAAAATTCATATGGGTACAGTGTTGCATGACCGCGCAATTGTCATTCAAAGTGTGATAGCGCTGAAAGCTGAAAATTGGCCTGGGCAGGAAGGGGGTGAAAGTGCCCGGACTTGAAGTAGTTACTTAACATCCTGCAACCAGTATTAATGCAGGGTGTCACAAAAATATTAAGTAGCATTAAAGCCTCACTTTTGTTTACCAGTATTGCATCTCTATAGACCAGTCAAGCAGAACACAATAACCAGAAACACAATAAGAGGTATTCAATAAAGCATTTGCCCCAAATTTCTAGCAGTACCGTACTAGGGGCACACCATACATGGCGCGTTCCTATGCATCATGTGTAGGGCAGCTCATTCTGACAAGTGGTGTACCAAAAATTCCAGATTGAAACCGAAATCGAAGATTCAAGATGCATTTGGCCAAAAACCAAAACTGAAATGGACAGTTTTTAAAAAATATATATTTTTTATATATATAATTGTATTATATTCGACTTTTTAATTAAAATCATGAATGTGAATGAATAAAAATTTATTTTTAGCACCTTTTCAGCTAATTGGCTGCTTTCAGCAGTTTTTGAAGTGCATTTGCATTAAAAAAAGAACAAGAAAATCTCAAGAAAAATGCATCCCTTTAAAGTCAATGTATTTCTTCACACTGGCCTGTTGCACTTCTCTTGAGGTGTTAAAATTTCTGCTTGCTGCATTCTTGATCTGTTAAAAAAAAAAAAAAAAACACACACACACCAAAAATGCACCTCCCCACTGAGGCCTGGTTCACACATGTAGTTTTAGTGATTTTTAGTGAAAACGCATCAAAACGCATCATAAATGCACACGTGTTGCCTTTTCAATGCGTTTTTTTTTAGTCACATGACCTATGAAAATCGCACCCTAAATTGGTAAAATTGTGGTACAATCACAGCTATAGCCCAGAGCGCTGATCGAGCTGCAAAAAAAATCTGACAGGGCAGTTGTACAGGAGTCAAACAATAGAGAGACTACTATACAACCTCCTTGCCCATAAATGGATCAAAATTCAGCCGGCCTCTGCTGAACCAGCTGAATTTCATTCCATGTATGGCCAGCTTAAAGTGTTGCTAAACCCACAACAGTACAATCAGTCTGTATATGCAGTAAAGCATGCTTATTATATTCACTGTGGAACCTAAGGGGTTAATCCTCCACATTGTGTAAAAACGCTGTTTGATCCTGTCTTCTCTGGTCCTCCCCTTCTTCCAGTGTCTCCCTCTTATTTCCTGATAAGACATATCGTGTGGAAACGCTCTGCACATGCTCAGTTCGCTGCGATAGGTTTTTATTTTTTCTTGGGAGAATGCATGTGATCAGCACAGGGCCAATCAGCACTGTCCAGACAGAAGTCAGGGGTCCTGCATTCTCCTAGAGCAGAATGAAAACTCCTACCAGTGCTTGACCGGACACTGATAGAAGTCACAAGACTGCTATATACTGCTGATGATAAAAGGTATTTAGTATTTTATATGTACTAAAATAATTGCATTTCCATGATGTGCGTACTGTGGGAGACCAGATATAGTGAATGCAGGGTCCTGGGAGACCATGCAGGGTCCTGGGAGACCAGATATAGTGAATGCAGGATCCGGGGAGACCAGATATATGAATAGTGAATGCAGGGTTTGGGGAGATCAGATATAGTGAATGCAGGGTCCGGGGAGACCAGATATAGTGAATGCAGGGTCCGGGAAGACCAGATCTAGTGAATGCAGGGTCCGGGGAGACCAGATATAGTGAATGCACGGTCCGGGGAGACCACATATAGTGAATGCAGGGTCCGGGGAGATCAGATATAGTGAATGCAGGGTCCGGGGAGACCACATATAGTGAATGCAGGGTCCGGGGAGACCACATATAGTGAATGCAGGGTCCGGGGAGACCAGATATAGTGAATGCAGGGTCCGGGGAGACCAGATATAGTGAATGCAGGGTCCGGGGAGACCAGATATAGTGAATGCAGGGTCCGGGGAGACCAGATATAGTAAATGCAGGGTCCGGGAAGACCAGATCTAGTGAATGCAGGGTCCGGGGAGACCAGATATAGTGAATGCACGGTCTGGGGAGACCAGATATAGTGAATGCAGGGTCCGGGGAGACCAGATATAGTGAATGCAGGGTCCGGGGAGATCAGATATAGTGAATGCAGGGTCCGGGGAGACCAGATCTAGTGAATGCAGGGTCCGGGGGGACCAGATATAGTGAATGCAGGGTCCGGGAAGACCAGATCTAGTGAATGCAGGGTCCGGGGAGACCAGATCTACTGAATGCAGGGTCCGGGGGGAACCAGATCTAGTGAATGCAGGGTCCGGGAAGACCAGATCTAGTGAATGCAGGGTCCGGGGAGACCACATATAGTGAATGCAGGGTCCGGGGAGACCAGATATAGTGAATGCAGGGTCCGGGGAGACCAGATATAGTGAATGCAGGGTCCGGGGAGGCCAGATATAGTGAATGCAGGGTCTGGGGAGACCAGATATAGTGAATGCAGGATCTGGGGAGACCAGATATAGTGAATGCAGGGTCTGGGGAGACCAGATATAGTGAATGCAGGGCCCGGGGAGAACAGATATAGTGAATGCAGGGCCCGGGGAGACCAGATATAGTGAATGCAGGGCCTGGGGGAGACCAGATATAGTGAATGCAGGGCCTGGGGAGACCAGATATAGTGAATGCAGGGTCCAGAGACCAGATATAGTGAATGCAGGGTCAAGGGAGACCAGATATTGTGAATACAGGGTCCAGGAAGACCAGATATAGTGAATGCAGGGTCCGGGGTTTAGGAACACTTTAAGCAACAGAGGAGCCATACCATCAGAGTGGATGCATGTCCTTAATTCTCTATTAGGTCCGTGTCAAATGGGCAGTTATGTAGCAGTGATGAATGGCTGCTACAAACCACCAATCCAGCAATTAGCAGTGATTAATAGCTGCCAACATAACCATTGTAGTAGCTGGTGATTTGTTGTCCAGAAGTAATTTGTCGTTGCTACAGGTTAAACTAGTGCTACATCATTAGATTGGCATTCTCTACGACAAACAACTCTCCCTCAGCAATTTGCAGTTATTACAATTTGATTGTTGCTTATAATACATTCATACTAAGTAATGCATCAATTTAACACATCCAGGTATTTGATACCAGAAATCAAAACCTTTTCGCTGGCAAAGCCTCTTCAGAATGATGGAACTATCTCTGCCCAGACATCAACCAGTGTGTGACACAATCCAGCCCCTGCTGCATCCTCTCATCCTGGCTTTCAATATTGCAGTCTGCTTCCCAGGAATGTGAAGACTAAGGACATTAGACTGCAGCAGACTGATGACATCATCTCAGCCTAGGCAAAGTCAGTTTCAGTACTTGTAAATAATGTTTTGCTTCATGTAGTTGAGCCTACTCTGACCACCGGCCGCTGGGAAACGCGGTAAAAACACGGCAACCGCAATACTGCGTTTTTACCGCGTTTTGCATTTTCCCACAGTCGGAATTCAAAATGTTCCTATCCTGAACATGATTCTTTCGCATTCAGGAGAGGGAGGTTTAACCTCACCTAAACGTAGCAGCTCTTAAACTCTGCTAAAAGCTTATGTGAACATAGACACATAGGCTTTTATGGAGTTGAGTTTAGGAGCTTTAGCAAAAAAAAAACACCTAAAACTTGAGTTTAAGAGCTGCTCATGTACATGAAACCCTAAGGCTTCATGTACACAAGCCTACCCTGACCACCGGCTGTGGGAAAACGCTAATCGTGGCAACAATGCGTACAACGTTTTGCGTTTTCCGGCAGTCACAACGTTCCTATCTTGAATGTAATTCTTTCGCGTTCAGGAGAAGGAGGTTTAACCTCACCTAAACATGGCAGCTCCTAAACTTTGCTAAAAGCCTATGTGTACATGGACACATAGGCTTTTATGGAGTTGAGTTTAGGAGCTTTGGCAAAAAAAATGCCAAAAGGTCCTAAACTAAAGTGTAGGAGCTGCTCATGTACATGAAGCCTGTGCATGGGTTCACAGGGGAACTTGTCAGACACTGACGCTGGAATGGCTGGTGTGGTATCCTTATTTATCTCCATTCTCCTGTTTCTAGGATTGTGAGCTGAGCTTCCACCATAGACTTTTCTGACACCATGTGGAAGAAGGAGGAAGTGTAGACCAGTTGGGCAGACAAATCTTTATGTAAGCGATATATCTGAAGGTTTAGAGAGCAAGGTATTTCTTTTTGCTGGTGATGCAATAGGCGATCTATAGGGTTGATATTACTGGAGGTGTTTGTAGCTAGCAACATGACTTGGTATTGCTGGAAGATTGGTCAAAGCAGTGGAAACAAAAACAATAGCATTTAGGGAAAAAGTCATCTGACAGAATATATATTGAGGGTACAATGTTGGCCGGAACTACAGAGGAAAAAGATATGGAGATGCTCATTTCAGTTTATTGCAAAATGAGCAAATAGTATGGTCTTCTCAGAGGGGAAAACAAATAGAATTATGGAGTGTATAACTATAGCAATCACCAGGAGGAGGTGGAAGGTCCTGATCCCGTATATAGATCTCCACTTATCACTAGAGGAATCATCATCATGATGCAGGAGGTCCTGTTTCCCATACACAGATCTTTACTTATCACTACAGGAATCATTGTCATGATGCAGGAGGTCCTGTTTCCCATACACAGATCTTTACTTACAACTAGAGGGATCATCATCAGGAGGAAGGAGGTCCTAATTCCCCTATATAGATCTCCACTTATCACTAGAGGAATCATGATCATGATGCAGGAGGTCCCATTTCCATACACAGATCTTTACTTATCACTAGAGGAATCATCATCATGATGCAGGAGGTCCTAATTCCCCTATATAGATCTCCACTTATCACTAGAGGAATCATCATCATGATGCAGGAGGTCCTGTTTCCCATACACAGATCTCTACTTATCACTAGAGGAATCATCATCATGATGCAAGAGGTCCTGTTTTCCATACATAGATCTTTACTTATCACTAGAGGGATCATCATCAGGAGGAAAGAGGTCCTAATTCCCTATATAGATCTTTACTTATCACTAGAGGAATCATCATGATGCAGGAGGTCCTGTTTCCTATACACAGATCCAGGAGGTTACTCCCTTATATCACTAGAGGAATCATCATCATGATGCAGGAGGTCCTGTTTCCCATAAACAGATATTTACGTATCACTAAAGGGATCATCATCAGGAGGAAGGAAGTCCTAATTCCCCTATACAGATCTCCACCTATCACTAGAAGAATCATCATCATGATGCAGGAGGTCCTGTTTCCTATACACAGATCTCTACTTCTCACTAGAGGAATCATCATCATGATGCAGGAGGTCCTGTTTCCCATACACAGATCTTTACTTATCACTAGAGGAAACATCATGATGCAGGAGGTCCTGTTTCCCATACACAGATCTTTACATATCACTAAAGGGATCATCATCAGGAGGTCCTAACTCCCTATATAGATCTCCACTTATCACTAGAGGAAACATCATCATGATGCAGGAGGTCCTGTTTTCCATACACAGATCTTTACGTATCACTAGAGGGATCATCATCAGGAGGAAGGAGGTCCTAATTCCCCTATATAGATCTTTCATCAGGAGGAAGGAGGTCCTAATTCCCCTATATAGATCTTTCATCAGGAGGAAGGAGGTTCTGAGGTATAAAGAGGAATGTTTACCATGCCTTCAAAAAAAAAAAAAAAAAAAAATCAAAAAAGGGCAGACATGACGTTGGTCTCATCTGCCATCACTCTTCTACGTTTCTAAGAGGTTCTTTGGGTACGGATTGATTTCCCCTTTACACTCATTCCTCTGCATTAGCTAGAGTTGCCCTTTAACCAGATCCTAAGAATGAAAACTCCAGTTTTTGTTCTATCCCTTGTGTACAGCGTTCTGTAAATATCAGCACCAATATGAGAAAATTACATTCAATTACTTTGTGTTTTCAAAAATCAGGAAATGTTTAAATGTCAGGACCATTTCCTTAATTGCTTTAGTGTTTTTTTTTTTTTTCTATTGTGAATTTTGCTTTGGCCAGAGATGCTATTTCAGGTCATTACATGATAAATGAGAGCGCATTCTTCTAGAAAAAAAAAGTCCTTTTGTTAACACAAGAACTGGAAAAAATATGCATAATTGTATCCAAAGTGCACATACCCCCTAAGGGCCAATTCACACTATGTTCAGTGACAGACATTTTACTGCATGGTAGAACATTTGTCACCGCAGGACACACAGGAAACAGTTGTTTCCTATGTGTCCCATTCACACTGCAACAAGGCCTAGCGCTGCTCGGCAATGTGCTACAATAAAATGCGGACATGTTGCATTTTAACACAGAGCAATGGGCCGAATCGCAGGGCAATATCAGGCAGCGCAGCATGGCACCTGACATTGTGGTGAATGAAGTGTACATTTTGTACACTTCAAATAAAGCTTGTACAAAACAAGAAAAAAAAGGAGCAGTGTGATGTGCTGCATTGTGCATCACACTGCTCCCTAGCAACCGGAAACACAGAGTGGCTGGAGCAACGAATGGCTCCAGCTGCTCTACGATCTCATGCAGTGCAAGTGTGAATCTGCCCTAAGTCTTCACTGAAGTGTCAGACAACAACCACACCTGACTACGTGTGTAATGTATCTTTTCCATATCTGTGTAAAACATACAAATATACGCGTAAGCAGCAGTGCCCATGACAAAAGACCTCTGTATATACTGCAGTCCTCACGCTAAAATTTCCAGAGTCTCCATAGTAGAAGCATATACACTATACTGCCAAAAGTATTGGGCCAGCCCACCAAATCATTGGATTCAGGTGTTCTAATCCCCTCCATGGCCACAGGTGTATAAAATCATCACCTAGGCATGCAGACTGCTTCTACAAACATTTGTGAAAGAATGGGTCGCTCTCAGGAGCTCAGTGACTCCAAGCGTGGTCCCGTGATAGGTTCTCACCTGTGCAATAAGTCCATCCGTGACATTTCCTGGCTACTAAATATTCCATGGTAAACTGTTAGTGGGGTTATAACAAAGTGAAAACAACTGGGAACAACAGCAACTCAGCCATGAAGTGGTAGGCCATGTAAAATGATAGAGTGGGGGCAGCGCATGCTGAAGCGCACAGTGCGCAGAAGTCACCAACTGTCTGCAGAGTCAAAAGTTAAAGACCTCCAAACTTCATGTGGCCTTCAGATTGGCACAACAACAGTGCGTAGAGAGCTTTATGGAATGGGTTTCCATGGCCGAGCAGCTGCATCCAAGCCTTACATCACCAAGTGAAATGCAAAGCGTCGGATGCCGTGGTGTAGAGCACGCCACCACTGGACTCTAGAGCAGTGGAGACGTGTTCTCTGGAGTGACCATTCATGCTTCTCTGTCTGGCAATCCAATGGACATGTCTGGGTTTGGTGGTTGCCAGGAGAATGGTACTTGCTTGACTGCGTTGTACCAAGTGTAAAGTTTGGTGGAGGGAGGATTATGGTGTGGGGTTGCCTTTCAGGGGTTGGGCTTTGCCTCTTAGTTCCAGTGAAGGGAACACTTAAGGTGTCAGCATACCAAGATATTTTGGACAATTTCATGCTCCCAACTTTGTGGGAACCGTTTGGGGATGTCCCGTTCCTGTTCCAACATGACTGCGCACCAGTGCACAAAGCAAAGTCTATAAAGACATGGATGGGCGAGTTTGGGGTGGAGGAACTTGACTGGCCTGCACAGAGTCCTGACCTCAACCCGATAGAACAACTTTGGGATGAATTAGAGCAGAGACTGGGAGCCAGGCCTTCTCGTCCGACATCAGTGCCTG